AGAGAGAGAGAGAGAGAGAGAGAGAGAGAGAGAGAGAGAGAGAGAGAGAGAGAACTATGGAGTAAGCTGAGATGATTCTAAGAATGAGAGTGAGAAAACAAATGTAAGTGCTACATCCAGAGAGAGTTTGAGAGAGAGAGTGAGAGTACCTTTCTAGGAAGTAAGCTAAAGGTGCAATTGCGAGGGTGGCGATTAACTGCCTATACGTAACAAAGACGGTAGGGCTCATCCCTTGCCGAAATGCTACTTTGGTGAGGATAACCATCACAGCAAAACAACTTTGAAAAATGATTAGGGCAAAAGCTGGTCTGTACTTCCTCATTTTCCTTTACTTCTAAAATTTCCAAGAAAGGGCAAATTAAACAAGAGCAGTACAAAATGGTGAAGAAGAAGAATTACAGAGAAATTTGTTATGAAGTGAAGCTCCCATGCTTCTTTATAAGCCATGCAACCTCCCTCATAGGCAATGACGTTTTCTCCTTGCTTATGCACCCTCATGGGCGTTTCGGGGGAGGGGGACCACCTTGCTTATTGTCTCCTTCTCTCTTCTTTCTTTCCCATAGTTATTTACCTTTCCCTTTTCTTTTTTTTTTTTTTTTTTTTCTAGCCTGAGGCCTTAGTTCTTCCGTGGTAGGCAGATTCAGCCTGCAAGCAAAGGTGTGCACGATGGCCGCGATCCACACTCATGAATCTCACAAGCTCAACTAATGGCTGGGCCCCACCATGCCTCCATGCACATGAAAAGGAGGCCCAGAATCCTGGCCCCCAAAAAATAACTTTCAAGCCCAGCCTGCGTCCGGTCAGCAATCTTGTCTACAAGGTCCGAAACAAAAAATCGGGCCAGGCCAAACCCTGCCTTTTATTAATGCAGGAAATATTATTTTAAAAAATGTACGAAAGAATTTAGGTTTCGAAATTACACCGGGCTTACCAAAAACCCAGCCCATGCCCACAATCCCATAAGCCTGCAGGCCTGGCTCGCCTGTGAATACCCCTTAGTCCAACTCGATAAAGGCACACGACGCCAGGATGAGGCCTTATGGGCCCATAGCGCTCGTGCACCAGTGAGGCACGATGTGGGGAGGCAGACAATAATGCCGACACCACTATGGGCAATGGAGAATGAAAAACTATTGAATTGGGAAAAAGCACCGAGGAACCTTTTTTTATTTGACTTAAATGAGACTGGAAAGCAAGGAACCTGATCTATACCATGAACCCTACTAAGCCGTCACCTTTTTTATTTTTATTTTTATTTTCTCTTTTGTTATAAAGTCATCCAAATAAAAAAAACAATTATAAAAAAGGAAAGTCAAAGGAAATGAGCCCACTTTGTCTGTTGCACGTGCCAATTAAAAAACCAAAAAAAATAATAGCAAATTCACCCAAACTCCTAAGGTAAGGGTAAGTGCTCCAAATACCGATAAAGAAGCATTTAAAGGGACACAATAGTGTGCATGGTATGTGGTGCTCCACAAGGGAGCTCACCATCATTACAATATAGAGGGGGGATTAACCCAAATTCCCATGAAAGGCGATGTAGTGGGGTTCATTTAACCCCACATGTTGGCATACTATCGTGATTAGTTTTGATTGGTGGTCTAGAAAATATAAAAAAAATAAAAAAATAGGGTGGGGGGTGATATTTGGTAGCCTAAAATATGTTTTAGATAAACTAAAAGAAAAAGGAAAAATAAGAGGAGATTTCCAATCCAATAGGCAATCTCCTGTTCAAAATGTGTGATGTGAATTACTTTTTCTTGTGAAAGTTGTATAAATTAATTGATAAATAGAAACATGATTTTGTTGTTTTTTTAGATATGACGAGCATCATTTGATGACATTTTTCTCATAAATTACAAAACCCACTCCTTTCGAGGCAATGGTCAGTCGTTGCTGATTCAGACTCTGACTCTTAACCACCACTATGTTGTTGTCGGTGTTTTGATTTATGACAATCACCATTTCAAGGTGATGGTTAGCCATTGTCAATTGCTTTTCCGGTCCTTAACTTTTGAGATGATTGTCACTCGTTCTCTAATTTGTTGAGGCCCGGGTATTAGTTTTCAATTTAATATGGAGAGGCATGGATAGAAAGAACAGAAAATTACAAAACCCCCCCTAGAATACACTATTTACTCAACTTACCCCCACCCAACCCCCCCTAGAATACACTATTTACTCAACTTACCCCCACCCAAACTTTTCCTCACATTTTTTTCCCCTCAACAAGCTTTCCCCGCAAAAACCCTCCCAAAGTAAAAAATTCGATTTTTTTGGACAGAAATGCCATTACCGTACAATAAAAAGTTAATTGGCGTTCGCAAGTTGCTTATTGTCGGAGCGCATTCCCATAGTGCCGGATCGAAATTTTACCCGAAGGTATAGTGCCGGAGCCCAATCTAGCGTTTTGTCGAAGCGAGATCAAAAAGTGCCGAAGCCTGTAGACAAACCACCGGAGAGATGTGCACCAAAAGTGTCCTGCCGGAGCGTGCTTCTCTACTGCTGGAGCGCATTGTCAGTATCGTTGGAGCGTACAACCAAACTATCGGATCGTTGTGGTACCAGAACCCTGACTGCTGGAGCGTTAAGTACGTAGTGCCGGAGCATGAAGGTGGATGGCCGGAGCAAACATATGGGCTTCTGGAGCATTGTGGCTCTAGAAGCTTGATTGTCGGAGCGTGAAGAACTTAAAGCCGGAGCGTGAAGGTGGACCGCCGGAGCGAACATGTGGACGGCCGGAGCGAGGTGGGTCCAGAAGCTTGATCGCCAGAACGTGAATTACGTAGTGCTGGAGCGTGAAGGTCGACTGTCAGAGCACGCATATGGACCGCTATAGCGTTGTGGCTCCAGAAGCTTGAATACTAGAGCGAGAAGGTCGTAGTGCTAGGGCGTGAAGGTGGACCGCCGGAGCGAGCATATGGACTGGTGGAGCGCTATGGTTCTAGAAGCTTGACTGCCGGAGTGGTAAGGACGTAGTACTAGATCATAAAGGTGGACCGTTAGAGCAAACATGTGGACTGTCGGAGCTTTCTATGGCTCCAAATCTTGACTGCCGGAGCGAGAAGTTTGTACTGCTGGAGTGTTCTTTTGGTGCTTGTGGACTGCCAGAGTGTTATGTGGCTCTAAAACCTTTTTTTTTTTTTTGGGGTGCTTTTTGCCTTTTGTGGTGTTGTATGTTAGATCTGAGTTAGGTGTTTCTCTTTAGTGGTGTTATATGTTAGCCTTTGATGGTGTTATATGTTAGCATTAGGTGGTGGCTTTACATTCTAT